AAAAATAACAACACTTTGTCAGGACCATGAGGCGATCATTCCTACCAACTTTCAGTTCAATCGGTCCAGCAGAACTTGACTTTAAGTTTGAAATAGGTTTTCAAAATGGCGGCCGTGGCGGCCATATTGGATTTCTGATCGACCCGAAAAATAACAACACTTTGTCAGGACCATGAGGCGATCATTCCTACCAACTTTCAGTTCAATCGGTCCAGCAGAACTTGACTTTAAGTTTGAAATAGGTTTTCAAAATGGCGGCCGTGGCGGCCATATTGGATTTCTGATCGACCCGAAAAATAACAACACTTTGTCAGGACCATGAGGCGATCATTCCTACCAACTTTCAGTTCAATCGGCCCAGCAGAACTTGACTTTAAGTTTGAAATGTAAAATGTTAACGGACGACGACGGACGAAAACGGATAGCAATAGGTCACTTGAGCTAAAGCTCAGGTGACCTAAAAATGTACATCTGTACTGATCACATTTAAAGTACAGACTCAGTTACTCATTCAGTCACACTTGCCAACTCATTCTTATTTTGGAGGGAGACTGCAGACTCCCAATTTTAGACCCCTACCAGGCAATTTCAATAGTTTCAACCAGTGAATTTGCTGAATTATTCCAACATTTGAAAATACGATGATTTCAATGAAAAAGGCTTTCTCCAAAAGGTGTCAATTAAATGTGTATTTCTTCCCAAGGGGGTAAATATGCACATTTTTGTACGCTTTAATTTTGGGCATGTAAAATCTCCCCAATAGAAATTTAAAAAGGTTGGTAAGTACATTGTAAGCTCACCCCTATGTAACTTGCATAGACTCTACCATGCATTGATCTGGATGAGTCCATTATGGTCTATAGTGGTGAAATGGTTAAATACATGAATTTCTGGTATTTCAGCATAGATATGACTATTAATACAAATGTATTATTTCAAATTGAATTAAATAATTCATCTAACCCAACATATCTGGTATTTGAAATCATATCATGATATGAAATATTTGTCATACTCATTGTTGTAACTTTGAAAACTTTACTTGTATATAATCAATTTTATCTACTGTAAAAATGTTCCGTAATATTGATTATTTGAAAACTCAAAGTAATTCTCACAGGTGTTTAATACCAAATTTTTGGGGGTTTTTTTTGCGGAATTATGTAAATGAGTAAACATGTTCACGGTGGACAACACCCACAGTTGGTTGATGTAAACTTTGGACCCCAAACTTCAATGTCTGTCAGTGATATCGTTACACTTCTGTGCAATTCTTTAACTCTGCTGTGATGTATCACACAACTTTACTAGTTTACTCATTTACATATATTTCAACTCGAAATTGTTTCAAAATATTTCCACTTCCATGATGCATTAATGCATCATTCGGCTCAGGCCCGGTGATGCATTAATCATCATCAGGGCTTAAAGGGTCAAGTTGTCCACATGACGACTGCCAGCTGTACATGTATAATATTGTAGTTATAAGATCTCTCAATAAATCTGTTATTTGGTATCAAAAGTTTCTAAGCACCAGCAGGCTTCATGCAGTTGCACGCTCAAAAAAATAAAGTTCAATTCAAGTATAAGATTTTTCGGAACTCTTGCTGCTTTTATACATTGAAGAGTGTTAAAACATGTTATTCTGACTACATTGTATTTCAAAATTGACAAATGAAAGATAAATGTTGATAAAATGGAAAATGAGGCCACTTTTTTTTTCTTTTTTTATCATTAGAAGATCAAATACAACCTGTCTGTAAAGATTGTAAATATTGTAAAGGTTTTGTTGATATCAACAATTACAATACAATAATTGGACAACTTTAATATTGATTTATGTTTTGGAAGTAAATTCAGTGATTAATAAAGATTGATTCTATATAGTGATGTACATGACAAAATCAAAATTCTGGAAATGTTGTGGTTGAATTGAATTGAATTTTTTTGAGGAATTAATATCAAGGTTATTGTGATATAAAGATGTATATGTATATCTATTGATATACATTTGATTCTGAATCAGTAAATGTGAATTAGTTAGCTGCATGTTATTTATGTGTTGAGCTCTTTATCACACTTTTTTTACTCTATACTCAAGCAGCTCTAATTGTGTTGTTCAATAATAGTTACTGGTATAGTACATTATGTTCTAAAGTTCAAAAATCCATTCATAAAAATGCATGCCTATTCCGATATTTAAAATATGAGTTTAAAATTATAAGATATTTTCATGGCCATAGCAATTTTTTGAGATATGGAGGTTTAATTGTCTACATACATTGTACAGGCGTAATCACTAAATGTTTCTTATTTCAAGTTGTATTTTCTTGTCATTATAATTATTTATACAGCATGTGATAGACACTTATGGGCTATAGATAGTGTCTATGCCTGATTTCTGAAAAAATATAATTGGTTCAAAACTATTGGAAATTACATTTTAGATTATAATTGAGGATTTGAAATCATTATGCAATGTATAAGTTTTTTTCCACAAGATTGATTTTTATGTATTCAATAAGATTCATCCGTTTGGAACTATTTAATATCCAAGTTTTACCTTGTACACAAACAATGTTGGTCTTAAATGTCACGACGTTTCAAGACCGACAGGTCCCTTTGTCAAGCTATGTGTATAAAGTGAAACTTTGATATTCATTTTAAAAATAACTACGGTAAGTACATACAGGTTATTTCACACTTCCTGTTAGATTATACGTAAGATAAATACTTTTAAAAACCACATTCAATTTCCTCTCATTAGAAAAAAATAGGAATGCGTAGAAAACTTCTTTTGAAAAAAAAAATCCCCAGAATACTTGCTACGTTACCGTAAAAAAATGTAGACAGTTTTAGCATAGATTTTGGTTAAAAAATACACACAGTCGTAAACTCGCGGCCAATCAGAACAGCTCTTTGAAGAATGCAATTAGCTGATGATAATTTTCCCAACAGGATGACTCCAGTGACATCATCCAGGATCTCCGTGATGAAATCTCTAAACTACGTGACAGGATCGCCTCAGCCTCCGAACCCAAGAAAGAGGATGTTCTCAAGATGGAGGTAGGTTTGGACTGGATGAAATATATATGTATATGAGATGTGTAAAATAAAAGCACTCTTTTGTAATAATGATTAAAAGTGTTTGCACAGACTCCGACTCCATATGACCAATAACGGAGGTCGACAAGTCTGAATTTACGGATCATGGGTCAGTTGTTTAAAATGAAAAAAATAGTGATGACACTTTCCACCATTTACTAATGGGTATCATACATATATAAGTGAACTGACCGAGGCTTTGTCAGGTTTGTATGACACTTTCCACCATGTACTAATGGGTATCATACATATATAAGAAAACTGACCGAGGTTTTGTCAGGTTTGTATGACACTTTCAACCATTTACTAATGGGTATCATACATATATAAGAAAACTGACCGAGGTTTTGTCAGGTTTGTATGACACTTTCAACCATTTACTAATGGGTATCATACATATATAAGAAAACTGACCGAAGTTTTGTCAGGTTTGTATGACACTTTCCGCCATTTACTAATGGGTATCATACATATATAAGAAAACTGACCGAGGTTTTGTCAGGTTTGTATGACACTTTTCACCATTTACTAATGGGTATCATACATATAAGTAAACTGACCGAGGTTTTGTAAGGTTTGTATGACACTTTCCACCATTTACTATTGGGTATCATACATATATAAGTAAACTGACAAAAGTTTTGTCAGGTTTGTATGACACTTTCAACCATTTACTAATGGGTATCATACATATAAGTAAACTGACCGAGGTTTTGTCATGTTTGTACGACACTTTCCACCATTTCCTACTGGGTATCATACATATATAAGTAAATTGACCGAAGTTTTGTCAGGTTTGTATGACACTTTCCACCATTTACTACTGGGGATCACACATATATAAGTGAACTGACCGAGGTTGTGTCAGGTTTGTATGACACTTTCCACCATTTACTACTGGGGATCACACATATATAAGTGAACTGACCGAGGTTGTGTCAGGTTTGTATGACACTTTCCACCATGTACTAATGGGTATCATACATATATAAGTGAACTGACCGAGGCTTTGTCAGGTTTGTATGACACTTTCCACCATTTACTATTGGGTATCATACATATATAAGTAAACTGACAAAAGTTTTGTCAGGTTTGTATGACACTTTCCACCATTTACTACTGGGGATCACACATATATAAGTGAACTGACCGAGGTTGTGTCAGGTTTGTATGACACTTTCCACCATTTACTACTGGGGATCACACATATATAAGTGAACTGACCGAGGTTTTGTCAGGTTTATATGACACTTTCCACCATTTACTAATGGGTACCATACATATATAAGTAAATTGACCGCAGTTTTGTCAGGTTTGTATGACACTTTCCACCATTTACTATTGGGTATCATACATATATAAGTAAACTGAGCGAGGTTTTGTCAGGCTTGTATGACACTTTCCACCATTTACTACTGGGGATCACACATATATAAGTGAACTGACCGAGGTTGTGTCAGGTTTGTATGACACTTTCCACCATGTACTAATGGGTATCATACATATATAAGAAAACTGACCGAGGTTTTGTCAGGTTTGTATGACACTTTCCACCATGTACTAATGGGTATCATACATATATAAGTGAACTGACCGAGGTTTTGTCAGGGTTGTATGACACTTTCCACCATTTACTAATGGGTATCATACATATATAAGTAAATTGACCGAAGCTTTGTCAGTTTTGTATGAAAGAAGACCTATATTTTAAGTTATCGTTTTTGTTAACAGGACTTGGTAAAAGACCTACAGATAGCCAAGCAGTCGACTTGGGCAGAGCGTGAACGATTATCCAACAAGTTTGAGGAGGAGAGGAAAATTAACCTCGCCAATAAGGTTTGTATATGTACATTGGAGAAGATAACTTACTTTGAAAATCTAACTCATATTTGGGCCATCAAAGTTGAGAAATTCAATTAAAATATTGTTTATATTAATTCATGTGGATAAAAACTAGGTATCTTTGACATATTTCATATACATTGTATACCAATAGTTATATACAATTAACATTAGGCAGAGTTAAAAGTTCTTGTATACATTAGGCAGAGTTAAAAGTTCTTGTATACATTAGGCAGAGTTAAAAGTTCTTGTATACATTAGGCAGAGTTAAAAAAGTTATTTATTTTTGGGGTGGACAGGAGGGAGATGCACTATTTTTAATCCTATTGATATTAGGTAGAGTGAAGTTTTACTAAGAAATCAACTGTTTGATCAGTGGAAATACATTTTTAAATGTATTGTTTATTTCCTTTCAAAATCAAGACTGGTTTTATGAACAAAGTACGTTTTCTTTTTGTTTCAGGGTATGGTTTTATGAACATTGATTAAGTTTTCTCTTTGTTTCAGGGTATCCTAGAGTGGGTCACAGACAATGTGAGGAAGGGCAACAAAGAGCTACAAGAGAAGATGGTACTCCTACAGAAGGAGAAAGACCAGGTACAATCATGTCTATTGTGACACCTTTTTACCTCGAATTGTAGCTGGAATTTACCTTAACCCTTTCACCACTGTAGACCAGAATGGACTCATCCAGATAACTGTATGGTAGAGTCTACTAAAGTTACCTAGGGGTGTAAGGGTTGAATTCGAAGATACTGACTGCCATGTTGCTGCTGCTATGCTTGCTCAAAATATGCCACCTGAGCTAAAAAAAACTGAAAGCGAGGCTATGTCGCGTGTGGAAAGGCCAAGGTCATTAATACCTACTTCTAGCTAAAAATAGTTGCCAATAAAACTTCCACACAACAAGCAGAAAATTGAGCTCCTGCAACCTTTTACTTTAATGAGCGTCAGCATGTATCGCAAGATCCAGATGGAGGAGAATCTCTTGTGATCCTTTTTATGCCCCCACCATTTAATGGGGGCATGCTACTTTAATCATGAATGTTCCATCCTGTCAAAGTTTTTCCAGATTTAGTGTCGCCCTCACAACCACTATTTGTTTAAAAAAAAAAATTAAAAAATTAGTAGGAGCACTCTAGCAGCTTCATTTCCTGAATATTTTGACAATCAATTAAAATTAAAAACAGGAAACGTCATCACGAGGGGACCATGCTCAAGGTTAAGGATAGTCTCCTAGAGTCAAGGGCTGAAGTCGAGGACAGACAGGGCTATACTAAATAGAACCAACCAAGTTATTCCATTACGATCTTAGAAACTAACATTCAGTATAAGATAGATTTTAATTAAACATTGTAAATATCTTATGAACCTGTGCATGTGTGATTATCTCCTTAAGCATTAAATCATAACCAAATTGTTATTGTCAGCTGACTCTTCAATATAAAGAAAGGAGGAAAGGAGTGGACGTGATGAACGAAGAGCTACAGAAGAAGATTGCGGAGTACTCTAAGTGGACAGAGACCGGTAGGTGGTCACCTTTATCCTCGTGTCATTTCTCACTACACAACCTTCAGTTAGATAAACCATCAAATGGAGCAGAAACGTGTCAGTTTTACAGGGTTGGTTAAATGCTTTCAGTTAGATGACATGTGGCCAATGTCTACAAAGAAATGAAAGTTTTGAGATCAAAATCTCAGAGAGAACGAAGTTAATGGTTGATTTTGTGGCTTGATCTAGTGGTGTTTTTTTTAAGTATTGAAAGACAGCACTGGAGTTTTTGTCTGATAATGAATGATAGGAGTCAGGAAGCACCTAAGGCATATATATAGTACCAATATCACATATATATATAGTACCAATATCACATATATATAGTACCAATATCAAAACAAAACATTCTCTTATGGTTTTATACATGATGCTCTTTTGATAATTTTATCAGAAGCCTACCTATGATCAATTGGTTCATCTTTTGAAAGACACATCATTTTCAGTTGATGTATTGCATTATCATCTATAAGTGATGTCTATACCTAGTGTACAATAGACACTTAAATGCTTCTAGTTCACAGCTGTTTAACTTTCCCTGCATAAAAATAGGTGCAAAAGATGAACCTTGCAAATGTTTGCCTGTCAGATACATGTAAACTACCAGTATGTTAGTTTAAGATGTTGTTAAAGATGTTTTGCAAAATTTAAGTTTTTGCACATTTGTTCCATCAATAAACACAAAAAAAGAACAAAAAATATACAAAAAATGAAAAAAGAAACAAAGTAAAATTAAAGTAATATGCAGTATATACTGTAATCTTACATATTTTAGAGGTAGTCTTATTGTAGTGGTTTTTGTGCTGTGGAAATGGTGTGCACTAAAATTAGAGTGCACTAAAATATGTATGTTTACAGTATAATGTTAATGTTCCTCCTTTGTTTAGATCTGTTGTTAAATGATAAATGGATGAGTGGAGTTCAAGACTCCTATTTATTGAGTTCAACGTCATCACTATACATGTTTCACTGACCTTTTTGTGCACAGGTAAATCCTCAGAATCCGAGACCAAAAAACGGGTGACAGCCATACATGAATTGAAAGAGAGGCTGAAAAAAGAGACTGACATTTTGAAGAAACTCAAACAGCAAATTAAGGATGTTCAGGACAAACAGCGTGAGGAAAGGGAGGTAAGTGGAAAATTATTTTGTGACAAGATCATAATGGGTGGTGGCAAGATCATAATGGGTGGTGACAAGATCATAATGGGTGTTTGCAAGATCAAAATGGTTGGTGGCAAGATCATAATGGGTGGTGACAAGATCATAGTGGGTGGTGACAAGATCAATATGGGTGGTCACATTATCATAATGGGTGGTAACAAGATCATAATGGGTGGTGACAAGATCATAATGGTTGGTGGCAAGATCATAATGGGTGTTGGCAAGATCATAATGGGTGGTGACAAGATCATAATGGGTGGTGGCAGGATCATAATGGGTGGTGAGAAGATCATTATGGGTGGTGACAAGATCATAATGGGTGGGGGCAAGCATAATGGGTGGTGACAAGATCATAATGGTGGGTGGCAAGATCATAATGGGTGTTGGCACGCTCATAATGGGTGGTGACAAGATCATAATGAGTGGTGGCAAGATCATAATGGGTGGTGGCAAGATCATTATGGGTGGTGACAAGATCATAATGGGTGGTGACAAGATCAATATGGGTGGTGACAAGATCATAATGGGTGGTGGCAAGATCATAATGGGCGGTGACAAGATCATAATGGGTGGTGGCAAGCATAATGGGTGGTGACAAGATCATAATGGGTGGTGGCAAGATCAATATGGGTGGTGACAAGATCATAATGGGTGGCGACAAGATCATAATGAGTGGTGGCAAGATCATAATGGGTGGTGACAAGATCATAAGGGGTGGTGACAAGATCAATATGGGTGGTGAGAATATCAATATGGGTGGTCACATTATCATAATGGGTGGTGACAAGATCAATATGGGTGGTGACAAGATCATAATGGGTGGTGGCAGGATCATAATGGGTGGTGAGAAGATCATTATGGGTGGTGACAAGATCATAATGGGTGGTGACAAGATCATAATGGGTGGTGACAAGATCATAATGAGTGGTGGCAAGATCATAATGGGTGGTGACAAGATCAATACGGGTGGTCACATTATCATAATGGGTGGTGACAAGATCATAATGGGTGGTGACAAGATCAATATGGGTGGTGACAAGATCAATATGGGTGGTCACATTATCATAATGGGTGGTGACAAGATCAAAATGGGTGGTGACAAGATCATAATGGGTGGTGACAAGATCATAATGGGTGGTGACAAGATCATAATGGGTGGTGACAAGATCATAATGGGTGGTGACAAGATCATAATGGGTGGTGACAAGATCATAATGGGTGGTGACAAGATCATTATGGGTGGTGACAAGATCATAATGGGTGGTGACAAGATCATAATGGGTGGTGACAAGATCATAATGGGTGGTGACAAGATCATAATGGGTGGTGACAAGATCATTATGGGTGGTGACAAGATCATAATGGGTGGTGACAAGATCATAATGGGTGGTGACAAGATCATTATGGGTGGTGACAAGATCATAATGGGTGGTGACAAGATCATAATGGGTGGTGACAAGATCATAATGGGTGGTGGCAAGATCAATATGGGTGGTGACAAGATCATAATGGGTGGTGACAAGATCAATATGGGTGGTGACAAGATCAAAATGGGTGGTGACAAGATCATAATGGGTGGTGACAAGATCATAATGGGTGGTGGCAAGATCAATATGGGTGGTGACAAGATCATAATGGGTGGTGACAAGATCAATATGGGTGGTGACAAGATCAATATGGGTGGTGACAAGATCAATATGGGTGGTCACATTATCATAATGGGTGGTGACAAGATCAATATGGGTGGTCACATTATCATAATGAGTGGTCAATAGGTTCAAATGGAGATGAACTTAGCAGTCAAGAAGGAAAGTAACACATTCTATTTTCATTATAAAAATATAGGCTGCCGTTTGAATTAAAACTGTTGATGACATTTTGATGGTTGCTTCTCCTGTGTTTGTAGAATGCCAAGGCCCAGATGACCGCGATAAAAGGAAGTGCCGAGGTCAGACAGAAAGTAGAGGTCAGTTATCAGGCTCTTACCATAGTTCCCCTTGTAACCATAGTTCACCTTCTAAATATTTAGTGTGTATTTAATTATATGTATTAAATCTATTCAATATGGTTTATCAAGTCAATTTGATTTCGGTGTCTCTGATGCTTGGGAGAACTCTGTATAATAAAAGTAACTATGTATGAATTTATTTAATGACCTGGGGTCTGTCGTTTATGCGGAACAACCGTTTGTCCATTTTTAGATGTAACAATTTCGTGTAGAAATCCTGGCAGACCTGCAAATGTTTATGCAGGCCTTGCAAGGCTTTGTCAAGGCTCGCCTGAGTGCAGCATCAGAATACTGGGCCCAACCTTACTTAATAAACGAACAACTGTGGTCCGACCAGTTCAACCATTTAAACGGAAACGGCCTTAGTGTATGCTATCTCATACCAGGTCAATGTTGTGTTGACCTAGCTAGGTGGGTAGATAAATTAGATAAATTCTTGTCTACCTCATACCAGATCATTATTGAGGGATCTAGATGTGTATATGTTAAGTTAATGAAATTCTGATCACCCCCAGACTAAATCATTATGGAGTTGATCTAGATGTAAAGATACATTAATGAAATTCTTGTCTCCCTCAGCCCCCGAGATTATTGAGTTGATTTAGGCATAGATAATAATGATAACATTAAATAATCAGATCAGTTAATGAAATTCTTATCTCCCTTACGCTAGATCATTTTTGAGTTAATGTAGATGTAGATAAGTGAAATTCTCCCTAACATCTCGTTAAGTAATCTTTTGTGAACAGCTGGAGGAACGCCATCAGTTAGAGCAGCAGAACAAAGCTATGGTGGCCGATGAACTCGACAAGATGAATATTGAGATCGAACAGGAGAAGTTGGAGATCCAGGTCAAGATGACCGAGGGTAAAAAATACACGCCACAGGAGGGGGCAGCCTTAGAGATACAGGTGGTGGAACTGAAGGCCAACAAGGCAGTCGTCGCCTACCAGGTAAGGTTCCCCTGTTATAATAAAGGATACAGAGGATGGGAGTTAGGTCTTTTATAATTTATTATCACTGGTATATTGAAAACTGACTAATCTGACGTCCAAGCACATGTAATTCGACATCCTGTCTAATGCAACACAATTCTGTAATCTCTCTTCTCATGTAAACTAACAAATAAGACTTGTGTAGTGTTCCTGGCTTTACCAATGTGCTGTGTTAACATTTTGTCAGATTAGACGGGTTTCACTGTGTCCCTGGTAAACCTTCATATTGATGAGACATGATAATAGAGAAAACTTGGTGTCTCGGTGTTATTTTCAGAACTGATTTATACATTTTTATTAGGGCCCCGTATCGGAGATACGGGTGCCCTATAGTAATCACTCTGTCTGTCTGTCTGTCTGTCTGTCTGTCCGTCCACAAATTTTGTTCCTGGCTGATTACTTTGGTATTTATTGACCGATGTACATGAAACTTGGTCAAGATGTTTAGTTCACAAAAATACACATTGCAGTAAAAAGTCAAGGTCAAAGGTCAAGGTCATTAGGTTCAAAGGTCAAGGTCAAATTTTACATCTTTTCACTGATGAATATTTTGTTATGACATTATGAAGCAAAGTTGATCAGAATTAAACAAGGAGTCAACAGACCAAAGGTCAAGGTCATCGGGTCAGGGGTCAAGGTCAAATTTTGTAGCTTTTCACTGGTGAACATTTAGCTATGACATTATGGAGCAAAGTTGTTCGAAATTAAACAAAGAGACACACTGAGGTAAAAAGTCAAGGTCATTAGGTTCAAAGGTCAAGGTCAAATTTTACATCTTTTCACTGATGAACATTTTGTTATGACATTATGAAGCAAAGTTGATCAGAATTAAACAAGGAGTCAACTGACCAAAGGTCAAGGTCATTGGGTCAAAGGTCAAGGTTAAATTTTGTATCTTTTCACTGGTGAACATTTCGCTATGACACTTTGAAGCAATGTAGCTCAGATTAAACAAGGAGTCAATTGACCAAAGGTCAAGGTCACTGGGTCAAAGGTGAAGGTTAAATTTTGTATCTTTTCCTTGATGAACATTTTGTTATGACATTATGAAGCAATGTTGTTCAGAACTTAACACAGAGTCAACTGACCTTAGGTCCAGGTTACGGGTTTCAAAGGGTCAAGGTCAAGTTTTGTATTTTCACTGATGAACATTTTGTTATGATATTAAGGAGCAAAGTTGGTCGGAATTAAAGAATAAGTCAACTGACCAAAGATCAGGGTCACTGGGTTAATGGTCAAGGTCATTTGGGTCCAAAGTTCAAAGACAAAGTGGATCTCTGACTTTGACTCTGGCTCTTGATGGAGGAGGTATATAAGGTTAAATAAAACAAATCAAAGCTAATAAATGAGTATTGCACCGGTATTTACATTTCTGTTTGCCCAGCAAATATGGAGGTGGAAGGAAACGACTCACATCATAGTACATGTAAAATGTATATTTTGCTTCCTTGCGATTCTTTTTGAAGTCCACATATCAAACGTCAAGCTCAGCTTTATGGGCAGATTGCTTCTTGATGATTATGGGGGATATATTGCCACAAGACGGGGCCCTTACTGACCTGTCAGTGTTCTAGTTCTAGGCTAGATTTCACAGTCACAGTTAGCTAACATGTATTTTGCTACAGGTTTTGTTTACATATGATTTTATATTTTAATCACAATAATCTTATTCTGATTAATGTATCTGGCTATTGGTAATGTACTTTTTGTTTTTTTTGTGACAATTCATATATCACCATTTCAGCTGCAGACCCTACAACATGAGAAGAACCGTCTGGCCAAGGAACTCGAAGATGTGTACAAACTACACAAGGACGAGATGGAGATTCAGCAGCTTCAACACTTTCAGGTACGTCACACACCTGTCACAGGTATGTCACACACCTGTCACAGGTACGTCACACACCTGTCACAGGTACGTCACACACCTGTCACAGGTACATCACACACCTGTCACAGGTATGTCACACACCTGTCACAGGTACATCACACACCTGTCACAGGTACATCACACACCTGTCACAGGTACGTCACACACCTGTCACAGGTACGTCACACACCTGTCACAGGTGCGTCACACCTGTCACAGGTATGTCACACACCTGTCACAGGTACGTCACACACCTGTCACAGGTATGCTACGCACCAATTACATGTACCATATACACCAACAGGTACGTTACACGCCTGTTACAGGTACATTACACGCTTGTTACATGTATTTCTCACCTGCTATAAGAAGGCTTCATACCTGCAACGTCTGACTTTCATTTATTAATCTAAGTTAACATATGTGAAACATTTTCAGTGATATTTGTTGAATTTTACACCTCTCTACTTAAACTCAGCCACTCTTTAAATGTTTGTGCATAGACATTCCATAGTTACCATGAGATATTCCTTCATTTCAGACATTCCGTAGTTACCGTGAGATATTCCTTCATTTCAGACATTCCGTAGTTACCGTGAGATATTCCTTCATTTCAGACATTCCGTAGTTACCGTGAGATATTCCTTCATTTCAGACATTCCGTAGTTACCGTGAGATATTCCTTCATTTCAGACATTCCGTAGTTACCGTGAGATATTCCTTCATTTCAGACATTCCGTAGTTACCGTGAGATATTCCTTCATTTCAGACATTCCGTAGTTACCGTGAGATATTCCTTCATTTCAGACATTCCGTAGTTACCGTGAGATATTCCTTCATTTCAGACATTCCGTAGTTACCGTGAGATATTCCTTCATTTCAGACATTCCGTAGTTACCGTGAGATATTCCTTCATTTCAGACATTCCGTAGTTACCGTGAGATATTCCTTCATTTCAGACATTCCGTAGTTACCGTGAGATATTCCTTCATTTCAGACATTCCGTAGTTACCGTGAGATATTCCTTCATTTCAGACATTCCGTAGTTACCGTGAGATATTCCTTCATTTCAGACATTCCGTAGTTACCGTGAGATATTCCTTCATTTCAGACATTCCGTAGTTACCGTGAGATATTCCTTCATTTCAGACATTCCGTAGTTACCGTGAGATATTCCTTCATTTCAGACATTCCGTAGTTACCGTGAGATATTCCTTCATTTCAGACATTCCGTAGTTACCGTGAGATATTCCTTCATTTCAGACATTCCGTAGTTACCGTGAGATATTCCTTCATTTCAGACATTCCGTAGTTACCGTGAGATATTCCTTCATTTCAGACATTCCGTAGTTACCGTGAGATATTCCTTCATTTCAGACATTCCGTAGTTACCGTGAGATATTCCTTCATTTCAGACATTCCGTAGTTACCGTGAGATATTCCTTCATTTCAGACATTCCGTAGTTACCGTGAGATATTCCTTCATTTCAGACATTCCGTAGTTACCGTGAGATATTCCTTCATTTCAGACATTCCGTAGTTACCGTGAGATATTCCTTCATTTCAGACATTCCGTAGTTACCGTGAGATATTCCTTCATTTCAGACATTCCGTAGTTACCGTGAGATATTCCTTCATTTCAGACATTCCGTAGTTACCGTGAGATATTCCTTCATTTCAGACATTCCGTAGTTACCGTGAGATATTCCTTAATTTCAGACATTCCGTAGTTACCGTGAGATATTCCTTCATTTCAGACATTCCGTAGTTACCGTGAGATATTCCTTCATTTCAGACATTCCATAGTTACAGTGAGATATTCCTTCATTTCAGACATTCCGTAGTTACCGCGAGATGTTCGAGGAGCAGAAGGCCGCCCTGGACCAGCGCTACAGACAGCTACTTGAGGACTCCATTCAAGATGCTGTCTTCTTGTCCAGTCGTAACAACGAGTTGACGGAGGAGAATGGGGAACTTAAACAAAGTATGTATGATTGCCTATGTTTACAGAGACAAATTTTTATGAGAACTTTGATTTGCAAGAAGCCATTATGATATCTAGAATTACGCTAAAATCATGAGAGTTATAATTCTGTTAACTTGGTTTTACCAATTGAAATACATTAGATTTCATTACCTTGGTGCAAGTTAATAAATAAAAAAGTCACCTCATAGATATTCTATATACAAACATTCTGAAGAACCTGAAATTGGTTTAAGGGGTTTCCATATATGCATTACCCTTGGCCTTTGCAAACCTGAATTAACTTTAATTTAAAAAATATTTTTCAAAACACCCTGATAATACCGGTTATTTGGTATTTCATAACAAATAACAAAGAAATCATTTTAGTTCCCTGGACTTAGTAATGAATTAAATCCTTCTGATGTTTCAGGCGTTGCCGAGATGAAGGATGTGATCACCAAGCTTGGAGGTCGTATCCCGTCTGGAACTGTGTGAACAATTATTTTACCATCTACAGTTATTTCCCTTTGACTAATGTCCGAAAAAGTACAGGATGATCACGACAAGTTTTCTTCTGGACATCCTTTTTCATCAAATTTTCGTGACATTTTTACATTCATTATTGCATGAAGTCAGCTAGTCTGATTTTACGTTATCTTGAGGGAATATTTGTACGTACATGCCAATGAACTCTCACGTCTCTGTGAACTTTTATTTCATTGTTAATTATGATACATGTTAAGTGCGTTCTAAGTAAGTTATGTCTGTTAAATATTCATTCTTACAATTATGATTAATATTTATTAATTTCACCAGTAAACTAATAGAATTTTACTATGAATGTCGAGTTAAATGTGGTACTCGGATTATGGTGATTTTCGTCTTACCAAAGGATCCGACTAACTTGTGGCGTGGACTTTTTCAGCCTGGAAATCTCACAATCTATATCAATGTTTTCATTCAAACACTCACCTCAGATCAATCCTCAATTATTTTTACCAACCAGTGATATATGATGGTATCCCCCCCGGTGACAGCTTTTGTCTATAGCTTCACATACACAAATCACTGAAATGGACTTTAGAAGAGATGAACGCATTCCTCTTCAGAATTTCCTATGTCACAAAAGATGTACTAATTTTATACTATTATCACTTGTAAAATTTACATTGTAAGATGAACTATATATGTATTTACTACCTTACATTTACTAACTAATTGCATGAAACTTGTACATGTGCCGTCCTGTATCTGATAAACGTTGCTGTAATTTTGGAAATTTTCTGCTCATTTCTAGCTGGAAATGGAAGTGTTCCATCTATTGAAATTAACAGTAAATCACAAGTTTTGAAATTTCTTTTTGGTTGTGTATCAGGGGAATCGTATATTTAAATGAAAGATTTAAAAAGACATTATAGTATATATACAAGTACGCAAATAATATTGTCATTTGGTTGCTTTCAGGTGTGTGATTATGTAGTTTTTTGCATTCATCAATCTATGAACCTTCTTTCATAAGTACATGTACTAGTGGTGTAATTGCTATGGTGATAAAACACCCATCCACTTTCTGTGATTTTGTGTATTGCTGATTCCGTCCAGAAACTTTCTAAATCTGCAATATTGTATAATATACCAATCTTGTTGTTATATTAAATAATTAATGTCTACTCACTATTTTGTATTCTGTGTTGACACAGACATCACATTCCATTTACAGTTTAATAACTCTATAATCCGAGCCATGCAGGTCTCACTCATTGACATTCAGTTACAAGTGCTGGTCACTTGATTTACTTTAATTATATTGTGTACCGATATATTTAGAAATTAAATATTTTAAATATTATTAACATTAAAGAAATCAAAACTGTAATATTTTAAGTTGTTTTGTTTGTTTATAAAGAGAGAAATAAGTAAAGGTTCAACCAGCAAACATTCAACTTTACACATTTTTGTCTCAACAGTGAAAGACACTTCACCGTCTGTTCCACTTAAGGCTGTATGTCTATTCCACTTAAGGCTGTATGCTGTAAGTCTGTTCCACCTAAGGCTGTATGCTGTAAGTCTGTTCCACCTAAGGCTGTATGCTATAAGTCTATTCCACTTAAGGCTGTATGCTACAAGTTTATTCCACTTAAGGCTGTATGCTATAAGTCTGTTCCAACTAAGGCTGTATGCTGTAAGTCTATTCCACCTAAGGCTGTATGCTATAAGTCTATTCCACTTAAGGCTGTATGCTATAAGTTTATTCCACCTAAGGCTGTATGCTGTAAGTCTATTCCACTTAAGGTTGTATGCTACAAGTTTATTCCACTTAAGGCTGTATGCTACAAGTTTATTCCACCTAAGGCTGTATGCTACAAGTTTATTCCACTTAAGGCTGTATGCTGTAAGTCTATTCCACTTAAGGCTGTATGCTACAAGTTTATTCCACTTAAGGCTGTATGCTATAAGTCTATTCCACTTAAGGCTGTATGCTATAAGTCTATTCCACTTAAGGCTGTATGCTATAAGTCTATTCCACTTAAGGCTGTATGCTATAAGTCTATTCCACTTAAGGCTGTATGCTATAAGTCTATTCCACTTAAGGCTGTATGCTATAAGTCTATTCCACTTAAGGCTGTATGCTATAAGTCTATTCCACTTAAGGCTGTATGCTATAAGTCTATTCCACTTAAGGCTGTATGCTATAAGTCTATTCCACCTAAGGCTGTATGCTGTAAGTCTATTCCACTTAAGGCTGTATGCTACAAGTTTATTCCACTTAAGGCTGTATGCTATAAGTCTATTCCACTTAAGGCTGTATGCTATAAGTTTATTCCACTTAAGGCTGTATGCTATAAGTTTATTCCACCTAAGGCTGTATGCTATAAGTTTATTCTACCTAAGAGTGTATGCTATAAGTCTGTTCCACCTAAGGCTGTATGCTGTAAGTCTATTCCACTTAAGGCTGTATGCTGTAAGTCTATTCAACTTAAGCTGTATGCTATAAGTTTATTCTACCTAAGAGTGTATGCTATAAGTCTGTTCCACCTAAGGCTGTATGCTATAAGTCTATTCCACTTAAGGCTGTATGCTATAAGTCTATTCCACACAAGAATTCCACACCAGAAACAAAGTTGAAGGCTAACTGAAGTATATAAATGTAACTCTCCGTTAGTTCTGAACTTATGCAAAATCATACTATCTTAAAGGCGATAGCTCTAAAGCATCCTGCATGCTTATTGTGTAAGGTAGCATATCTCCATAACTCTTAAAACAAATCTTGGGTTTAATGTGAAAGGTTGCATATATGCTAAACTCTTAAACCAATCATGGGTTTCATGTAAAAGATAGCATATACTTCACATCCTTTCTTTGATTTCACAGTATATGAGTTAGTATTCTTGCTCAGGCGCGTAGCTACCATGTAAGCCAATAAGCCCGGGCTTGCACATGATTTTGACAAGTATAGGTTTTCATGACGGATTTTTTTAAATGACGAAAACTGTCTTCTGGAGCCTGCCCAATTACAACACAACAGAATTTTTAAAAATCACGGTGCTTTGTATTTTTTTACTTGCGCATAATATTCTTCTATAATGGACGTATATAAAACTAAACTTTAATTTTCTTCCATGTCCACAAAATGTTTATGAAAACAGAAGACGAAACGGTATTGGAGACTGTAAACCTGGGCATGATGATGATAGTGGGGGCAACCTCGCTTCTCGAAATGCCAAATCAATAACAGAAGCAAGTATAAGGAACCAGTCACAAAGCACAAACAGAAGACGAAACTGTGTTGGTGACTGAGTAAAGGTGACAGTGGGGGTAACTTCGCTTCCCAATGAACTCGGATCAGATTATGAGAAAGACAAACCCAATTGCATGTTCACTCATGCAGAAGTATCAAATGCATTTATCAAGATTAGGTAAAAACCAGACAATGTATGTATGGAGGGTGTACAAAGCAATACCGACGGTTAATCTTCAGAATTACACTGGATCCACGTAAATAGGTATATATATATACAAAAAAATAGGACTTTTTTCTTGCGGATTTAAACAAGAAAACAGACATCAGGACGTGGGAAATGGCTCCAGAGACGTTCTAGAAAACAAAATTTTCATGGGGGAGACCCCCTAGACCCCCCTTACGGGAGGGGGAAGACACCCTTCTGTACCCTCCCCCTGCTCGCGCTACGCGCTTCGGGGAGAGATACCTTCGGCAACCCCATGTCAGGCTTTCACATGGTAAAGGGGCTAGCTACGCGCCTGTTGCTGAAGTATTTGACAAAAAGAACACAAAAAACTCAAATTTCAATAATTCACTGACGAAATATTTTTATTCAAAACAGTTCACGCAATTAATACCGTTTAGCAGTTAGGCACATTATGCCTGGACAACAACCGGACCTGTGTACCAGGTACAGTGACAAGGTCAAGGTCATCTATCCAGTCAAGGTCAAAAACCTGTTGATCATTGAGAAGGAAGCTCTTTATAGTTAATTAATTAGGAAAGCTTCACCTTTGACTAATTCATCACAACTTCAAAAATATAAACAGTAGTTAGATAGCTATTTACTGACAGCTTTATAGCATCATCAGGCATTAATAGCTTAAATAGACAAACTAAATATATCTTGCATATAGACAGCTGCATCAGTACATGACCAATCAGTGCTGAATTTAACCTTCCGTACGAGATAAATTGTATGTGTTATATGTATGTACACCGACACCTGTCTAATCTGACACCCTGTAGGTACCAGTTAGATTAGACAGGATGTCAACAGTACTCGGGGGTTGTATTATCGAGGTTTACAATACTGTATCATCCACTATACCCCCGACATAAAACACGTTTGTCATGGAAACTAGAGACAAAAACAGCTACAACAGATGATTTTGTTTAGATTACACAGGTAAATTCTAGTAAACAAAATACTTTTTCATTGCATTAACTTGTTCAGAAATTCCTGGGAATAATACTTTCGACACACAAAATGGATTACATAAAACCCACCTAGTTTATAGGTATCAAACATACCGTACCAACAGATATAATAATAACAAAATGTGTAACACTGCAAAGTCCTGAAAACAACAACAAAGTAGGTGTCGGAGAAGCTGCCAATAGATAAAGACAACTACTTCACAAACATCCCATCACTTGGTCAGAATCAAAATTAGAACAATCAGTTATATATTTACTTTCATATGGTGTACACCTCTCTTTGTACTTCCAGTGAAGTACAGCTTCGGGATAATTACATGTCCTCAACACAAACGGCTGTACACCTCAACATAAGCCTAGATAGCTATGTACACAAGACTTGTATGCAGTGTTTGTAGAAATGTTTTTATGATTAAATAAAGTTCGATGATGAGATCGTCATTAGTGAAAAGCGTAGGAATTCAAAATGGGGGCGACACAGAAAATGTTCAATGATCTGTTCTATAAATGGATCTTTGGTACGTTGTAGTTAAAAACAGATCAAATTACAAGTTCAGTGCAAAAAAGGAATCCTGCAAATATTATGATGTGCACAAAACCTATTTCATATGACTACCTGTAGAGATCACATTCATCTACTGACTGCTCAACCCACCAATGACGTGTCGCCTGACAAGAGTTCGAACATCTTCCACATCTACTCTCCATAACTCACTATATATGCATTATAACAATGATACCACATTATAACAATGATACCACATTATAACAATGATACCACATTATAACAATGATACCACATTATAACAATTTGATACCACATTATACCACATTATAACAATTACCACATTATAACAATGATACCACATTATGCCAGTGATACCACATTATAACAATGATACCACATTATACCACATTATACCACATTATAACAATGATACCACATTATACCAATGATACCACATTATAACAATGATACCACATTATATCAATGATACCACATTATGCCAGTGATACCACATTATAACAATGATACCACATTATACCACATTATACCACATTTTAACACTGAACACTGATATCACATTTTAACACCGATACCAAACACATGTATAAAATTGGTTATATAATCATAGCACACTACTAAATACATAAAAATATATACAGCATGAAATAAACAGCAAAAAATGCTAAACAAACTTTTCCGAGGACACAATGATGTTTAATGATAAAATGAATCGTACTACCGATATATTTCTGCTCTAATACTATGATACAAATTGGTGTTGTTTGCAGTAAGCTCCATGACTGGCCAGTAAGCACCATGACTGGCCAGTAAGTGCCATGATAAAAAAAAAGATAGTGTTATATTTGGCATGAATCCGGAAACTTACTTTCTTTACACTACAGTACACCAAACGGTTAATCTTGACCCCACAACTGACCTTAGAAAGGTGGAATCGTAACTCAATGAAGTAACTACCAACACATGACGGGGGCAGACATGTCATTTGCTGGAAAATGTATTTTATTAACCATATTTGTACAATTTACCAGGTACATCAAAAGATCAATGTATTATGCAAATACTTTTGCTGAAAGTTAAGTTGTAAATTACACTCAGCTCCACACTGAGAGTGAAACCCATGACAACCAGCACACTCGGGCTCAACACGCTCGTCAACCGAGCTAAACACAAATGACAACACCTCGGTATTCAACAGTATAATCAAGCACAACAGATGTACTTCAATAACTACCATCTAACTGATGTACCTTCGATAACTACCATCTAACAGATGACAGTGAACGATATGTAACATATACACTTCATACTGTAACAGATAAAGGCAGAATTAATACTAGTCACCATCCTACATGAGAACAGTAATCAGTTAACGAGATATGACATGTTGTTTATGATAATGACTTGGGAGAATATGGAGAGTGATTTGTATTAAATATACATCAAACAGAAATAATAGAACGTAACCTTCCAAACAGAACTTGTCAGATCACACAGGTGTTCACAAAAGACAGGTTAATCTACAAAGAATATCTTTATATCCAAGGGGTTGTAAGACAAGTTATGCTGTATTACAAACTTAGAAAACTGACCAATGGACCGTAAACCAGTGTATGAGGGAGAGTGGAAATACTGAATCATTTAAACACTAGTCACAACAAATGTTCTTCTCTTAGAAAGTGGCCTCTACTGTTGGTCATGAATAATACTTAATAGTGTTTTAATTACTTCAACAGCGGGGGACATTAATTACACACGTGATATAATATGTAGAGCTTAAACATCTCAATAGAACGAATCAGATCTGATAACTCTGTACATATCATAATGACATGACATACACATTAACATAAATACTAAATAACAATTGAGACTTCTATTGTATTATCTCTCACACACCAGTGTTTTTCGTCCTGATGTCCCATTAATAACTTAGAAAAATAGATCATCTCCATATCAATGTTTCCAGCCCATTCTGTTACAGCCGATCATTTGGTCATGAAACAAGTTGTCTTGCTTCTAGCTTAAATATATTAAACTTACACTATTTCATGTCTGTAGTGTACTGATATTGAGATAACACAGGCTAAATTTATATATAAATACACCTCTGGATCTGGTCATCATAATATCTGGTTTACATACCATACACAGAAGTCCCGAATTATGAGGAAAATAGCTCTGATAGGCAATACTGTACTCAGGCAAAACTACACAATTGTCATACAAAGATCTACAAGTTATCAAAGTTTGTTTTCTCTCAGTTTGATTATTATGCAAACAGCAGCACTGAACATACTAACTTGTTAACAATACAAAAACACTGTAAAAAACAAATGTTTCTCTTTAACATTTGACAAGACAACTGAACACATCAAATTCTAATAAAAAAAAATTAAATACATATATGTATACATGTACATTTTGTATGTGTGTATATATAATCTTCATTTTAATATCTTTCTATCAGTCTCTCTGCCAGTCACCTTCCGTCTGTCTCTCACTCCGTCTGTCTCTCACTCTGTCAGTCACCTTCCGTCTGTCTCTCACTCCGTCTGTCTCTCACTGTCTGTCACTCACTCCATCTGTCTCTCACTCCGTCTGTCTCTCACTCAGTCTGCTAGTCACCTTCCGTCTGTCTCTCACTCCATCTGTCTCTTACTGTCTGTCACTCACTCCGTCTGTCAGTCACATTCTGTCTGCCTCTCACTCCATCTGTCTCTCACTCCGTCTGTCTCTCACTCCATCTGTCAGTCACCTTCCGTCTGTCTCTCACTCCGTCTGTCAGTCACCTTTGGTCTGTCCCTCACTCAGTCTGCCAGTCACCTTCTGTCTGTCTCTCACTCCGTCTGTCTCTCACTCTGTCTGTCTCTCACTCCGTCTGTCTCTCACTCTGTCTGTCTCTCACTCTGTCTCTCACTGTCTGTCACTCACTCCATCTGTCTCTCACTCCATCTGTCAGTCACCTTCTGTCTGCCTCTCACTCCATCTGTCTCTCACTCCGTCTGTCTCTCACTCCATCTGTCAGTCACCTTCCGTCTGTCTCTCACTCCGTCTGTCAGTCACCTTCCGTTTGTCTCTCACTCCGTCTGTCTCTCACTCCGTCTGTCTCTCACTCCGTCTGTCAGTCACCTTCTGTCTGCCTCTCACTCAGTCACATTCTTTCTTACACTGTATTACAATATAGGGAAACCATCATAATTATAAATGCACTATATTAACTGGTTAAGCCAGACCTTTATATTAATGAACTTATTATGCAACACATTCATGGATGATACTGATAAATGCAGTAGAAATATTTCTGTCGAAGGAAATCATAATCTAAACCATCAGGCAAAATGAAATTAACACACTGCAATAGCCATACAAGCACCTTCCCCAATGAATGTTGAGATTCGTAATAAGTTAAAAGGAATAAATTAACAATTTTCTTATCCTTTGAAATTTTAGACATTTTAAAACATTTTAACAAGTCATAATTGTCTTCGGAGATTCTGAAACATTTTAAAGCAAATATCAGCAATAAACCAACTTTAGAGATTTAGCAAAAGCAAAAATCTGTTCGACATAAAAATGGAAACTGTTCAATATGAAACTTTTTTCTACATGTTCCTCAATAGATGGGGAAATCTGTCTACCCAACATACTCCTAAGTTTCCAAAAGTTCTTTCACTGGAGACAATTAGCCCATTGTCATGAAGAGAAGAAATTAAACATAATTTGTGTGAGATACGGTTTCTCATACAATATTTACCAAAATCCAAAAATATCTTACAATAAAATGAAATTCAGAATATTATGTCAATCATTCCAAGAGATCTTTCTCATTTGATTCGAATCCACGTTTTGTTTGATTCCCAAATTTAGACCTCTTGTAATTCTTAAAGAATCAATTTTGTTCCATTCTACAGTAATTTAGATTATATTTTGCTGATTATCTGTCCTTGTCTTGTTCACCTTAAGGTCATAAATTTAATGGGTTTTTTTTTTCATTTTACAAATTATATCTTACCATGAACAAATATATTTTTTTACAGAAAACAACATTCTGTTAAGCAGTGGTACTGAAGCTCGTGTGGCATAGAATACAAAGCTAAAACAAAAATGTTTAAAAGCATTTTGTTTTCAGTTGGGTGGTAGGTGGATAATATATTTTTAACAATAAATAATATGTGTATTAGATGCAGAATATTATAATAAACAAAATGTATCTGTCAAAAAAAAATGGACAAGGAAAAAATACCATATTTCAATTAATAGGAAAAAAGGATTGTAGCACTGTACACTAGGAAATGTTTGCCTGCTTATAATGGTTCTGTTGTTAATTACCTTGTCCTCTGATGTTCTGTATTTAGTTTCCTACTTCGCTTATGTTGGTCATGTAATAACTTATTAACCACCCCCCGCCCTCCCGGCCGTTCTGTCACCCAGAAACCTGTTGGGTGTGGATATCCGACACCCATCAGCCAGTGGTCACTGTGGACCATTATTTTCGCACTTCCATGGATGTAATGGATTAACATTTAACACCCAGTGGATTAACATTTTACACCCAGCCCAACATCCTTTTGACCCGAGGGTCCTGATGCCTGAAAGTCTCCAGTCGACATTATTTGCGTTGCTGGGTCCCGATGCCTGCCAGTCTACTCCCAGTTGATCTCATCTGGGTTGTCTGGAGGTAGCACCATCAGGAGCTTCTGGGTCGCCTGTGTGAATGTATCTGTTGATAAAAATGACATTAAGTTATTACTGAATGCATGTACAAGGAAACCGAGAACTGCAGAGGGCCAAACTGGATTCCAAATCAGTCTCAAAATGAAACATGCAAAGACAAAAGACAAAGAGGGACTTATACATGAAGTTTGAGAAATGTCTGTCTGAAACTTCTCGAAAAATAGCAATATAAAACCGAGCTTGAACTGGTGAAATTCAAAATGGCTTCCTGGCAGCCATGTTATTTTTCCAATCAGTCCCAAAATAAAATATGCACATCTACAGTCCAAGGGAAACTGACATTTTGATTTGAGAAAGATCGCTCATTTATTTCTTGAGAAATTGTGATAACAAACTTGATCTGCCAAAATGATTGTTTGTAATGGAGAGGTAGAGTCGAACAGGGCCAATCTTCACACCACCACATTCCATAGTTCCAGATTTTATCAGAATAAAGTGGCAGAGGATGTTAATCAACTTATATTGTTACACCTCAAGTGAATTTCTAGCTATTTGATTGGTTGGGAGAAAATTAAACAAAAATCTCTGTCACACTCCGAAAATACATTGGTTTTAAGGGGCGCGGGTGATATTGCCATGAGACAGTGAAAAATATCACATGCGCGAAAAATGTGCGTTCACCGTTTGGTTTCCCCAAGCGATAGCGATTGTAAACAGCAGACTATCAACAAACAAGATGTCATTATCGAGGTTTGCTGCCATTTCTGAGCTACAAAGTCTCTTGGTATAACAAAATAGATATGACATTCATTAGCAGGGGACAGTGAATATTGTCACCCTCGGCGATATTCACTGTCACCTGCTAATGAATGTCATATTTATATAATGTTTTATATAGCTAAGTGCTAAGATTGACCACCACATGTGCCAATTATTCGATGGTTTAGTATGAGTTGGTAAACAGGAACAATTTCGGTAGAAAAGTGATTGCAACATTTCACAATCTTACTGAAACAAAGTTATACAAACCTATCTTGTCTGTGATGGATTTTGGAAGTTTCGGTAACACAAGATAATAGATGGTTCCCGCAGCAACAAGGCACAAAGCCACCAGACTCTCCCACGGCTTCTGGTAGAGCGTCAGAACCACAATGAAGCCACTTATAAGACACAGGATAATCGGCAAAATGATTGGCACCTATAGAAGAAAGTCGTACAGATCATATAGTTTTAAGTCAGTTTTACACACAAGGAATTACATAATCTATAGTTCTAGTGTGATGTCGACAGAGAAATCTTGATCTGAGGATAAGATTTTTGAGGTTCAGCACAAGGGTTTGCTGACCTCTAAAATGCAACCCTGAAGGTTGAGATTTTTCTGTCTGTTTCACATATGTATGATAGTCTTTTTTTAAAGAAAATACTATCTTTTTAGGCTATCAACAGAGTCACCTACCTTGATCGGGCGATCAATATCTGGCTCCTTGTAGCGGAGATACACTTGGCCTGCAAACACGAGGGTGAGCACACAGGCAAAGCCGAAGCCCTCCATCTCGATCAGGAAGAAAATGTTGGTGGTCGAAGTGTAGATCAGAGTCATCACAAGCTGTAACAGAGGACATTCCAGGTGAGTAGGGGTCCTTAATATAAGTATATGTAACAGAGGACATTCCTGGTGAGTAGGGGTCCTTAACATAAGTATAATGTAACAGAGGACATTCCTGGTGAGAAGGGGTCCTTAATATAAGTATATGTAACAGAGGACATTCGTGGTGAGTAGGGGTCCTTAATATAAGTATATGTAACAGAGGATATTCGTGGTGAGAAGGGGTCCTTAATATAAGTATATGTAACAGAGGACATTCGTGGTGAGTAGGGGTCCTTAACATAAGTATAGATGTAACAGAGGACATTCGTGGTGAGTAGGGGTCCTTAACATAAGTATTGATGTAACAGAGGACATTCGTGGTGAGTAGGGGTCCTTAACATAAGTATTGATGTAACAGAGGACATTCGTGGTGAGTAGGGGTCCTTAACATAAGTATTGATGTAACAGAGGACATTCGTGGTGAGTAGGGGTCCTTAACATAAGTATTGATGTAACAGAGGACATTCGTGGTGAGTAGGGGTCCTTAACATAAGTATTGATGTAACAGAGGACATTCGTGGTGAGTAGGGGTCCTTAACATAAGTATTGATGTAACAGAGGACATTCGTGGTGAGTAGGGGTCCTTAACATAAGTATTGATGTAACAGAGGACATTCGTGGTGAGTAGGGGTCCTTAACATAAGTATTGATGTAACAGAGGACATTCGTGGTGAGTAGGGGTCCTTAACATAAGTATTGATGTAACAGAGGACATTCGTGGTGAGTAGGGGTCCTTAACATAAGTATTGATGTAACAGAGGACATTCGTGGTGAGTAGGGGTCCTTAACATAAGTATTGATGTAACAGAGGACATTCGTGGTGAGTAGGGGTCCTTAACATAAGTATTGATGTAACAGAGGACATTCGTGGTGAGTAGGGGTCCTTAACATAAGTATTGATGTAACAGAGGACATTCGTGGTGAGTAGGGGTCCTTAACATAAGTATTGATGTAACAGAGGACATTCGTGGTGAGTAGGGGTCCTTAACATAAGTATTGATGTAACAGAGGACATTCGTGGTGAGTAGGGGTCCTTAACATAAGTATTGATGTAACAGAGGACATTCGTGGTGAGTAGGGGTCCTTAACATAAGTATTGATGTAACAGAGGACATTCGTGGTGAGTAGGGGTCCTTAACATAAGTATTGATGTAACAGAGGACATTCGTGGTGAGTAGGGGTCCTTAACATAAGTATTGATGTAACAGAGGACATTCGTGGTGAGTAGGGGTCCTTAACATAAGTATTGATGTAACAGAGGACATTCGTGGTGAGTAGGGGTCCTTAACATAAGTATTGATGTAACAGAGGACATTCGTGGTGAGTAGGGGTCCTTAACATAAGTATTGATGTAACAGAGGACATTCGTGGTGAGTAGGGGTCCTTAACATAAGTATTGATGTAACAGAGGACATTCGTGGTGAGTAGGGGTCCTTAACATAAGTATTGATGTAACAGAGGACATTCGTGGTGAGTAGGGGTCCTTAACATAAGTATTGATGTAACAGAGGACATTCGTGGTGAGTAGGGGTCCTTAACATAAGTATTGATGTAACAGAGGACATTCGTGGTGAGTAGGGGTCCTTAACATAAGTATTGATGTAACAGAGGACATTCGTGGTGAGTAGGGGTCCTTAACATAAGTATTGATGTAACAGAGGACATTCGTGGTGAGTAGGGGTCCTTAACATAAGTATTGATGTAACAGAGGACATTCGTGGTGAGTAGGGGTCCTTAACATAAGTATTGATGTAACAGAGGACATTCGTGGTGAGTAGGGGTCCTTAACATAAGTATTGATGTAACAGAGGACATTCGTGGTGAGTAGGGGTCCTTAACATAAGTATTGATGTAACAGAGGACATTCGTGGTGAGTAGGGGTCCTTAACATAAGTATTGATGTAACAGAGGACATTCGTGGTGAGTAGGGGTCCTTAACATAAGTATTGATGTAACAGAGGACATTCGTGGTGAGTAGGGGTCCTTAACATAAGTATTGATGTAACAGAGGACATTCGTGGTGAGTAGGGGTCCTTAACATAAGTATTGATGTAACAGAGGACATTCGTGGTGAGTAGGGGTCCTTAACATAAGTATTGATGTAACAGAGGACATTCGTGGTGAGTAGGGGTCCTTAACATAAGTATTGATGTAACAGAGGACATTCGTGGTGAGTAGGGGTCCTTAACATAAGTATTGATGTAACAGAGGACATTCGTGGTGAGTAGGGGTCCTTAACATAAGTATTGATGTAACAGAGGACATTCGTGGTGAGTAGGGGTCCTTAACATAAGTATTGATGTAACAGAGGACATTCGTGGTGAGTAGGGGTCCTTAACATAAGTATTGATGTAACAGAGGACATTCGTGGTGAGTAGGGGTCCTTAACATAAGTATTGATGTAACAGAGGACATTCGTGGTGAGTAGGGGTCCTTAACATAAGTATTGATGTAACAGAGGACATTCGTGGTGAGTAGGGGTCCTTAACATAAGTATTGATGTAACAGAGGACATTCGTGGTGAGTAGGGGTCCTTAACATAAGTATTGATGTAACAGAGGACATTCGTGGTGAGTAGGGGTCCTTAACATAAGTATTGATGTAACAGAGGACATTCGTGGTGAGTAGGGGTCCTTAACATAAGTATTGATGTAACAGAGGACATTCGTGGTGAGTAGGGGTCCTTAACATAAGTATTGATGTAACAGAGGACATTCGTGGTGAGTAGGGGTCCTTAACATAAGTATTGATGTAACAGAGGACATTCGTGGTGAGTAGGGGTCCTTAACATAAGTATTGATGTAACAGAGGACATTCGTGGTGAGTAGGGGTCCTTAACATAAGTATTGATGTAACAGAGGACATTCGTGGTGAGTAGGGGTCCTTAACATAAGTATTGATGTAACAGAGGACATTCGTGGTGAGTAGGGGTCCTTAACATAAGTATTGATGTAACAGAGGACATTCGTGGTGAGTAGGGGTCCTTAACATAAGTATTACTGTAACAGAGGACATTCCTGGTGAGTAGGGGTCCTTAACATAAGTATTACTGTAACAGAGGACATTCGTGGTGAGTAGGGGTCCTTAACATAAGTATTGATGTAACAGAGGACATTCCTGGTGAGTAGGAGTCCATAACATAAGTATTGATGTAACAGAGGACATTCGTGGTGAGTAGGGGTCCTTAACATAAGTATTGATGTAACAATGGACATTCGTGGTGAGTAGGGGTCCTTAACATAAGTATTGATGTAACAAAGGACATTCGTGGTGAGTAGGAGTCTTTATTAATCACATTACAATGATACTATGATATTACAAACAGGTTTTTTATGTTTTTGTCTGTATACGTTCAACATGCTGCTTAATGTCAACGTCACCTTTTGACCTTTGAATCGGATACATCTCATACATTTTGTACTGTGTTACAACTTAAACTGAATAAAGTTTGTATTTCCTATACATATCACTGACTGGGTGGTGCAAAGATTGGCTAAATCCTTGACCATTATGTTAAAGTCAGTTTTTGACTTACAATGACCAGAAGAGATGGAGATGGTGTCATGTTTTTGTACTGGATCATCCCCATAAAGGCTGGCATCTGTTTGTTTTGGGCTCCAACAAAGAACAACCTACAACAACAGAGAGACGGCTATAGCTAGTTATCAGAGTATTACTCATAGTTGACATTTTTTTGAAATTTCTATTGGGGAGAATCTGAATGCTCAAAATTTAAACAGAAATCAAATTTGTGCAATACCCCCTGGAGACAACATCACCCTTTAAATGTCATATTTTCAGTTGTTCTTTTAGATGAAATCATTAGATCTTAGAATATGGTAATAGTGTAGCAAATTCACAGGTTGAAAATACTAAACGTAAGGGTCAAAATTCAGGAGTGTCCCTCCTAAATAGGGAGGGTTGGCAAGTAGGATTATACTTATTATACAGAAATATTTAAAGAGGTAAGCACCACACAAGGAAAACTATTTTTCAACTGATACTTTTTACCTTGGAGAAGCAACTTTGACTCCCTTGTTACCTTGAAAACGAGCTGGATTTTCTCTTTAATTACAATTTGAGCATGAGTTGAAATTTGACCTCACTTTTATCTTTTATATGCGGTCAACTTTGACCTCTTGAGTATTTACGCTGATTTTTACATGTTTTAAAAATAAAGAACAGCAGCCATTTCCCAAATATAAATCTCTCCTACAGTTCTTCCGTATTTTGAATTTTAAGTTTAACTACCTCCGTGAATGTAACATATTGTAAAATGTAGACATTTAACAATTCAAACAATAACTTTAACTAGTATTTCACCTAGATAAACAATTTATAAAGTTTATATCAATTCCTTGTTTAAAGGTACAACACAATTTTCCCCCTGATACCCAGAATTATGCTGAGCAAGCAACCCATTAAATTGTTTCAGACCCTGACAGACGACGCCCAATACCTGACAGCCGACCGGATAACTTTACCTTGACATGGACAGAGCACATCCGTTCATGGTGCCACACACAGAGAGAGCAATGAGAACCGGCATAAGCCAGGCCATAACACCCATCGTACTCTCGGCAAAGGTCTGAAATATACAAAATACAGGTTAACTTCGTACCACAAATGTCAGTATTTACTTCTTCACCAAACAATTTGTCTTAACATATCATTCAGCTGTCCATATAATAGTTGTACCTGTCCATATCTAACTTTTCTTTACATTGTTTCACAATAAAACCAAGCTGTACATATAGAGAAGTAATTCTGACCATACAGTGGTCTGACTGTACAGTGGTCTGACCATATAGAGAAGTGATTCTGACCGTACAGTGGTCTGACCATATAGAGAAGTGATTCTGACCGTACAGTGGTCTGACCATATAGAGAAGTGATTCTGACCGTACAGTGGTCTGACCATACAGTGAAGTGATTCTGACCGTACAGTGGTCTGACCATATAGAGAAGTGATTCTGACCGTACAGTGGTCTGACCATATAGAGAAGTGATTCTGACCGTACAGTGGTCTGACCATACAGTGAAGTGATTCTGACCGTACAGTGGTCTGACCATACAGTGGTCTGACCGTACAGTGGTCTGACCATATAGAGAAGTAATTCTGACCGGACAGTGGTCTCCTAGTACAGGTGGTCTGACCGTAAAGTGGTCTGACCGTACAGTGGTCTGACCGTATAGAGAAGTAATTCTGACCGTACAGTGGTCTCCTAGTACAGATGGTCTGACCGTACAGTGGTCTGACCGTACAGTGGTCTGACCGTATAGAGAAGTAATTCTGACCATACAGTGGTCTCCTAGTACAGGTGGTCTGACCATACAGTGGTCTGACCGTACAGTGGTCTGACCGTATAGAGAAGTAATTCTGACCGTACAGTGGTCTCCTAGTACAGATGGTCTGACCGTACAGTGGTCTGACCGTACAGTGGTCTGACCGTACAGTGGTCTGACCATATAGAGAAGTAATTCTGACCGTACAGTGGTCTGACCGTACAGTGGTCTGACCGTATAGAGAAGTAATTCTGACCGTACAGTGGTCTGACCATACAGTGGTCTGACCGTACAGTGGTCTGACCGTATAGAGAAGTAATTCTGACCGTACAGTGGTCTGACCATACAGTGGTCTGACCGTACAGTGGTCTGACCGTACAGTGGTCTGACCGTATAGAGAAGTAATTCTGACCGTACAGTGGTCTGACCGTACAGTGGTCTGACCGTATAGAGAAGTAATTCTGACCGTACAGTGGTCTGACCATACAGTGGTCTGACCGTACAGTGGTCTGCCCATATAGAGAAGTAATTCTGACCGTACAGCGGTCTGACCGTACAGTGGTCTGACCGTATAGTGGTCTGACCGTATAGAGAAGTAATTCTGACCGGACAGTGGTCTGACCATACAGTGGTCTGACCGTATAGTGGTCTGACCGTATAGAGAAGTAATTCTGACCGTACAGCGGTCTGACCGTACAGTGGTCTGACCGTACAGTGGTCTGACCTGACCGTACAGTGGTCTGACCGTACAGTGGTATACAGTGGTCTGGCTGTACAGTGGTCTGACCATATAGAGAAGGAATTCTGACCGTACAGTGGTCTGACCGTATACAGAAGTAATTCTGACCGTACAGTGGTCTGATGGTACAGTGGTCTCCTAGTACAGGTGGTCTGACCATACAGTGGTCTGACCGTACAGTGGGCTGACCATATAGAGAAGTAATTCTGACCGTACAGGGGTCTGACCATATAGAGAAGTAATTCTTACCGTACAGTGGGCTGACCATATAGAAAAGTAATTCTGACCGTACAGTGGTCTGCCCATACAGTGGTCTGACCGTACAGTGGTCTTACCATATAGAGAAGTAATTCTGACCGTACAGCGGTCTGACCGTACAGTGGTCTGACCGTACAGCGGCCTGACCGTATAGAGAAGTCATTCTGACCGTACAGTGGTCTGACCGTACAGTGGCCTGACCGTACAGTGGTCTCACCGTATAGAGAAGTAATTCTGTCCGTACAGTGGTCTGACCATACAGTGGTATGACCGTACAGTGGTCTGACCGTATAGAGAAGTAATTCTTACCGTACAGTGGTCTGACCGTACAGTGGTATACAGTGGTCTGGCTGTACAGTGGTCTGACCATATAGAGAAGGAATTCTGACCGTACAGTGGTCTGACCATTCAGTGGTCTGACCGTACAGTGGTCTGACTCTGACCGTACAGTGGTCTGACCATATAAAGAAGTTATTCTGACCATACAGTGGTCTGACCGTCCAGTGGTCTGACCATATAGAGAAGTAATACTGACCGTACAGTGGTCTGACCATATAGAGTATAGAGAAGTAATTCTGACCGTACAGGGGTCTGACCATATAGAGAAGTAATTCTGACTGTACAGTGGTCTGACCGTACAGTGGTCTGACCGAACGTACAGTGGTCTGACTGTATAGAGAAGTAATTCTGACCGTACAGCGGTCTGACCGTACAGTGGTCTGACCGTATAGAAAAGTAATTCTGACCGTACAGTGGTCTGCCCATACAGTGGTCTGACCGTACAGTGGTCTTACCATATAGAGAAGTAATTCTGACCGTACAGCGGTCTGACCATATAGAGAAGTAATTCTTACCGTACAGTGGGCTGACCATATAGAAAAGTAATTCTGACCGTACAGTGGTCTGCCCATACAGTGGTCTGACCGTACAGTGGTTTGACCTGACCGTACAGTGGTCTGACCGTACAGTGGTATACAGTGGTCTGGCTGTACAGTGGTCTGACCATATAGAGAAGGAATTCTGACCGTACAGTGGTCTGACCGTATACAGAAGTAATTCTGACCGTACAGTGGTCTGACTGTACAATGGTCTCCTAGTACAGGTGGTCTGACCATACAGTGGTCTGACCGTACAGTGGTCTCCTAGAGTGGTCTGACCATATAGAGAAGTAATTCTGCTCGTACAGTGGTCTGCTAGTACAGGTGGGCTGACCGTACAGTAGTCTCCTAGTACAGGAGGTCTGACCGTACAGTGGTCTGACCGTACAGTGGCCTGACCGTACAGTGGTCTCACCGTATAGAGAAGTAATTCTGACCGTACAGGGGTCTGACCATATAGAGAAGTAATTCTGATCGTACAGTGGTCTCCTAGTACAGGTGGTCTCACCGTACAGTAGTCTCCTAGTACAGGTGGGCGGACCGTACAGTGGTCTGACCATATAGAGGAGTAATTCTGACCGTACAGTGGTCTGACTGTACAATGGTCTCCTAGTACAGGTGGTCTGACCGTACAGGGGTCTGACCGTACAGTGGTCTGACCATAGTGTTCTCCTAGTACAGGTGGTCTGACCGTAAAGTGGTCTGACCGTATAGTGGTCTGACCGTATAGAGAAGTAATTCTTACCGTACAGTGGTCTGACCGTACAGTGGTTTGACCTGACCGTACAGTGGTCTGACCGTACAGCGGCCTGACCGTATAGAGAAGTAATTCTGACCTAACAGTGGTCTGACCATACAGTGGGCTGACCGTACAGTGGTCTGACCATATAGAGAAGGAATTCTGACCGTACAGTGGTCTGACCAGACAGTGGTCTGACCGTACAGTGGTCTGCCCATATAGAGAAGTAATTCTGACCGTACAGCGGTCTGACCATATAGAGAAGTAATTCTTACCGTACAGTGGGCTGACCATATAGAAAAGTAATTCTGACCGTACAGTGGTCTGCCCATACAGTGGTCTGACCGTACAGTGGTTTGACCTGACCGTACAGTGGTCTGACCGTACAGTGGCCTGACCGTACAGTGGTCTCACCGTATAGAGAAGTAATTCTGACCGTACAGGGGTCTGACCATATAGAGAAGTAATTCTAAACGTACAGCGGTCTGACCATATAGAGAAGTAATTCTAAACGTACAGCGGTCTGACCATATAGAGAAGTAATTCTGCTCGTACAGTGGTCTGCTAGTACAGGTGGGCTGACCGTACAGTAGTCTCCTAGTACAGGAGGTCTGACCGTACAGTGGTCTGACCATATAGAGAAGTAATTCTGACCGTACAGTGGTCTGACTGTACAGTGGTCTCCTAGTACAGGTGGTCTGACCGTACAGTAGTCTCCTAGTACAGGTGGTCTGACCGTACAGTGGTCTGACCATATAGAGAAGTTATTCTGACCATACAGTGGTCTGACCGTACAGTGGTCTGACCATATAGAGTATAGAGAAGTAATTCTGACCGTACAGTGGGCTGACTGTACAGTGGTCTCCTAGTACAGGGGGTCTGACCGTACAGTGGTCTGACCGTACAGTGGACTGACCGTACAGTGGTCTCCTAGTACGACCGTATAGAGAATACAGTGGTCTGACCGTATAGAAAAGTAATTCTGACCGTACAGTGGTCTGATGGTACAGTGGTCTCCTAGTACAGGTGGTCTGACCGTACAGTGGTCTGACCGTATAGAGAAGTGATTCTGACCGTACAGTGGTCTGACCGTACAGTGGTCTGACCTGACCGTACAGTGGTCTGACCGTACAGTGGTCTCCTAGTACAGATGGTCTGACCGTACAGTGGTCTGACCGTATAGAGAAGTGATTCTGACCGTACAGTGGTCTGATCGTACAGTGGTCTCCTAGTACAGGTGGTCTCCTCAGTAAGGGTTTAGTATAGATGAAAGTAGCTGTAATGGGGAGTTGTTAGTGAGGTCTCTTAATGCAGGTGGTCTCCTGATAGTGGTAGTCTCTCGACCAGGAAACCAAGAATATTTGACTGAAAAGTCAGAAATAGAACCCAATATATATATATATCCTGACAGATTAGTCATACATAACAGTCATTTATTTTATCTGTTTATTTGATGCATTGATGAACTCTGATCAAACAATGATGGTTATATTTTTAACCTGAATAATCAGACAGGCAAGCTGAGAAATCAGACAGGCAAGCTGAGAAATCAAGCAGGCAAGCTGAGAAATCAGGCTGTCACGAAGACCCTGGAAGGTGGGACAACTCCTTCATAGCGAGTACAGAAAGGAACATGAATGAATGAATTTACCACAGCAACAGCCTCGGACTTGATCATTTGAGCCGGTGTGAGAACACCCAGGTACGCCACATTGGCAGCCAGGTATGTTGATATTACAATGGACATAGAAATCACGATAGCTCTGGGCAAATTCCTGAAAAAAGTTAAGTAAAATTTGTTATTTATTATATTTATATATTGTCCACTATACACTACAATCCACACAAGTGTCAGTTTTTAGACCAGTATAAATTATCACAGGCTGGAGACAGAAGGGTCAGTTTTTAGACCAGTATAAAATATCACAGACTGGAGACAGAAGTGTAAGTTTTTAGACCAGTATAAATTATCCCAGTCTGGAGACAGAAGTGTCAGTTGTTAGACCAGTACAAATTAGCACAGACTGGAGCGGAAGTGTCAGTTTTTAGACCAGTATAAATTATCACAGACTGGAGACAGAAGTGTCAGTTTTAAGACCAGTATAAATTACCACAGACTGGAGACAGAAGTGTCAGTTTTTAGACCAGTACAAATTAGCACAGACTGGAGCGGAAGTGTCAGTTTTTAGACCAGTATAAATTATCACAGACTGGAGACAGAAGTGTCAGTTTTTAGACCAGTATTAATTATCACAGACTGGAGACTATCTACAACTAATGCCCACCTCTCTCTCATCAATCTTGCTTTTTAAGGTGCAGAAATATATGATTTTTTTTCATCTTGGATGTCTTTTTTGTTATTTCAAGGACATATCGTTTTTGTTTTCAGTTTTAATTTGAAAACACATTTTTGATTAAGCTATGGGACCAAGACATTATCAGGCAAACATCAAATTATGCGACTTACTATCCTATAGGATATACATGTATATATTGTACTATATTTATAGTGAGAATTCCATGCTTGGTATAAGCCATGAGTCCCCCTTCTTAAATAGGTTTCACAAAGTTCAGGTTCAAAATTTTTTTTCAGTAATAAACAGCATCTGACTTGATATAACATGTTTGGGACAAGTCTAGCTTCTATGTTACTCTTCTCAGTGTATCGTGTACTTTAACAATGTATAGGGCTACGTTCAGGACAAGTCTAGCTTCTATGTTACTCTTCTCAGTGTATCATGTACTTTAACAATGTATAGGGCCACGTTTGGGACAAGTCTAGCTTCTATGTTACTCTTCTCAGTGTATCGTGTACTTTAACAATGTATAGGGCCACGTTCAGGACAAGTCTAGCTTCTATGTTACTCTTCTCAGTGTATCGTGTACTTTAACAATGTATAGGGCCACGTTTGGGACAAGTCTAGCTTCTATGTTACTCTTCTCAGTGTATCGTGTACTTTAACAATGTATAGGGCCACGTTTGGGACAAGTCTAGCTTCTATGTTACTCTTCTCAGTGTATCGTGTACTTTAACAATGTATAGGGCCACGTTTGGGACAAGTCTAGCTTCTATGTTACTCTTCTCAGTGTATCGTGTACTTTAACAATGTGTAGGGCCACGTTTGGGACAAGTCTAGCTTCTATGTTACTCTTCTCAGTGTATCGTGTACTTTAACAATGTGTAGGGCCACGTTTGGGACAAGTCTAGCTTCTATGTTACTCTTCTCAGTGTATCGTGTACTTTAACAATGTGTAGGGCCACGTTTGGGACAAGTCTAGCTTCTATGTTACTCTTCTCAGTGTATCGTGTACTTTAACAATGTGTAGGGCCACGTTTGGGACAAGTCTAGCTTCTATGTTACTCTTCTCAGTGTATCGTGTACTTTAACAATGTGTAGGGCCACGTTTGGGACAAGTCTAGCTTCTATGTTACTCTTCTCAGTGTATCGTGTACTTTAACAATGTATAGGGCCACCTTTGGGACAAGTCTAGCTTCTATGTTACTCTTCTCAGTTTATCGTGTACTTTAACAATGTATAGGGCCACGTTTGGGACAAGTCTAGCTTCTGTGTTACTCTTCTCAGTGTATCGTGTACTTTAACAATGTGTAGGGCCACGTTTGGGACAAGTCTAGCTTCCATGTTACTCTTCTCAGTGTATCATGTACTTTAACAATGCGTAGGGCCACGTTTGGGACAAGTCTAGCTTCTATGTTACTATAGGGCTACGTTCAGGACAAGTCTAGCTTCTATGTTACTCTTCTCAGTGTATCGTGGCTTCTATCATATCTTTAACAATGTGTAGGGCCACGTTTGGGACAAGTCTAGCTTCTATGTTACTATAGGGCTACGTTCAGGACAAGTCTAGCTTCTATGTTACTCTTCTCAGTGTATCGTGGCTTCTATCATATCTGTATTGTTATATACCATAAATTATGTATAATAGATGGAAATGTACATTTTAATTATTCATTTTTTAAACCTCATGAATTTACCTAAAATCAACAATAACACATTGATTAAGGACAGAAACTATAAAATTTCAATATCTAGCAAATTTGATCTATATTATATAATCATCAGACAATAAATAGTAGTTGATTTATTCACTCCTGTTAGCTGCTAAAGTCTATAAATTATAGTCACTAACCTACTATAAAACTGTGCAGCCCCATATACTTGTAACATCTGTCACTATATACAATACTTTCCATTACCATAGTACTAAACAGAATCCTCTCATATACATAACACACATGCAACAAGATCTACCAACATCCAATAAGGGTAAGACATTTTTTTTCTAACTGATCAAATGATTTCTTCTAGAAAAAATCATTTAGCTTTCAATCAATATTTCTCTCCAAAATTTACAACACAAAAAAAAAGAGACTAATTCTGAGACAATGAAATATGCTATCAATTTATGTTGTAGTTGAGGTTTCTATACCAAATGGCTACATCCCATTTTAAATCAAAGAATTGAAACTTAAATATTTGATTCTGAAATTTTTACCACCATTTGATGATATGATAATACATCAGCATTATTCTGCCTGCTGTAGTTAACCTTATAATTGCCCCATCTGTAAGACACCCCCTATCCGTTTATCTGGTGCGAGGAATTCCCATCCCTTCACTATAATAAACAATCTCACAAAAAAAAGTATCTATTTTTTGAGAATTTTAAAATCATTCTTATTTTCCAAATTGGTAAGCACCTATATCAGGGCACTTATTTGGTTAAGTATGGTACCTATAGTTTTGTCAAATTCAAAGAATAGATGACCTCAAAGAGCCCTGGAATTCTGACACATTCAAATATTTGTCTGACCAGTATAATTTCTCTATTAAATAAATGGGAAGAATACATTTAGGAACGTAACGAATTCCAGCTCTTTAACAGGACAGTAATATTGACCTTGCCTTTGCCAAGACATTAAACAAATATGACAGTTCCAAAGTAGTAAATTATGCCAGTCTACATTGAGGAATTTATTGCTTGGAGGCACTGGAAAATTCATGAAATTTGTAGTAAGAAATGACACCTGAATTCCTCCTGTATACACTGTCATAGTGATTCTTCTCTCAAAACTCAGAATATTTTGTAGCATTAAGAAAGTGGATCCCACTTTTCCTCTAAGTCATTATGGGACAAATACGTTTGGGTCCTGGAGTCATGTTTTTTCCCTGAGGGACTTGTCCATATTTTGAGAGAGTTATCGCCCTTGACGGCGTGAGGACGTGTAAAACATCGGTCCCAGGTTTTTCAAAACATTTTCACCTTATTTTCAACAATTAACTACGAATGTGTTATACTTTTCCAACCGTATGGATGTGTAATACATAGGAGTGGAAAATGTATGGAACGAACCCCACGCAAAAGTGAGTACTTTGTGAAAAAAAATGAACCCATTGTGAACGAGAAAACGTATACGTGGTATGTGCGGACATTGAGAAGTTCTCATTCTGACTATCATCATTTGCCAAATATTTTACTTATGTGAAAAACATTTGATATTTACAAAACATCTATGGAATCATGTGAATAAGATGGTTTTCGAATAGAGACAATTATAGTGAAAAAACTTTACAGTCGGCTGAACCCTTTGTCAGTGTGTGTATAGTGTCGATACATGTATATTGCCCGTGCACGCACGACGGACAGTCTGTTGAGCACATATAAACGACAAACTAAACGTAAATGGCAGAGAAGAGGAAAACTGTATCAACATCCAGTTCGGACAGAAGTTTTATTGATAGCGACAAAGTTATTCCAAAAGTTAAAAAGGTCGTCAAGCGCGCAAAAATTTCGGACAATCAAGCGACGCTACATACATTCAAAATGGACGCGCAACTAAAAAAGTTCAGTGCCAACATGATGACAAATTTTAAACTCCTAGAGGAAAAAATGAATGACATTACATTAAAACTATCAGACATGGTCACATCGGAGGATATGTCGCAGCAGTTTAAAACAATGGCCACTAAGGAGGACCTAGAATTAGTGAAAAGGGATATCATTGAGGAGCTAAATATAAAAGTTGAAAAGCTCGAGTCCCGAGTTTTCACTCTCGAAATGTCAAACGACGCTATGACAAAGCGCATAGAGTATCTGGAAAAAAACGTAGAGAGAAATGAAGATACAGTGGCTGAAGTCGGCTTTACTGCAGAGAAGGCTCAGTATGACATCAACGAGCTCGAACAGTACACTAGGAAGTCAAGTGTCCGAGTATTCGGCCTGGCGGACGAACAAGACGAGAACATGGAAAAAACCTGTCGGAAGGTTCATAGTTTCCTGAAATCCGATCTGAACATGGAAATCGAGAATACAGATATTGACGTAGCTCACAGGTTGGGCAAGTACAGATCCAATAAAGCAAGACCTATCATCGTCAAATTTATGTGTCGCCGTACAAAAATAGAATGTATCCAGAAACGTCACAAGCTCAAAGGAAGGGGTATAGTTATCAGGGATGACCTTTCGCGGGAAAACCAACACTTGATGGATAGTCTATCATTCGATGATCGGGTCAGCGATAAATGGAGTGACAATGGTAAACTATACGCAAGGCTCTCTGCAGACAAGACAGTCCATAGAATCCACCCAGGCATAGACTTGGACAGACTTGTATACAGGTCTTTCAACATGTAAAACACGTTGGTAATCTCGTTGATGACATTACGTTCAAAAAAGTTGTCACTCCTGTCGCCAATTTTACATTCCAACGATAGACGGTAAGAGCGGAGGAGTGATAAATTATATATATACTGAA